CCCCCCCCTCCCTCCCCCCCTTGCAGCACTGCCCCCCTCGTCGCGGCGCGCCGAAGGACCGGGATCGGGCGGGCGGGGGTGGTCCAGAGAGGAGAGCGCGGCGGAGGGGCCCCTGCTCTGGCGCGGGGCGGCAGGGCGAGCTCGCCCGCCGGAGGGCCGCGGCGGGACGGCGGGGAGCCGCCCCCAGGGACCCTGGCGCGGGAGGCCAGGCGGGGTTCCTCCTCCTCCTCCTCCTCCTCCTCCTCCTCCTCGTCCTCCTCCTCCTCCAGCTGCTTCCAGGCGTCAAAGTATGTGCTGCGCAGCTAAGTCCGATACCGAACTTCAGGAGAGTCGATGTTCGTCATGGCCCCTTAATTGTGCTTTGGTCCCCATCTCGTGCGCCGATCGCCCTGGGGCAGTCGGGGGACCGGCCACATGGTTCGCATTTGCTTGCATAATCCCCAAACTTTGGTGCAGACGGGAAGGTTGGATGATGTGGCGAAGAGTTTCGGCTCTTGTATACTTGTCGGTCTTGTCGGTACATGGATGCGGACGGACATGGTGGTGGAAAAACGAAGGATGGCGAAGTTCTGGGAGCTGCGATGGGGGAGGGGGGATCCGCACTCTGGTCTCTCGCTGCTCACTCATCGTGCTCATTTCAGTGATCGCTGTATTCGGTATGTGTGGTCTGGGGAAGGTGCTCTTCGTGGTAGGGTGGGTGCAGTTCGCCTCAAGACGCCAACGCAGGATTTGTGTGTCATTGTGGGGTACAACTTTCAGCTGCCGAAAACGGAGAGGGAGAAACAACGGAACAGGGGTTTTTACATATGGATTGACGATGTCATTTCGTCGATTCCTCATCGTTGCATCCCTGTGTTGCTGTTGGACTCGAATGGGCATCTGGGGTTGGATAGGGAGCGAGGGAGCCTGTGCCGCCGGCCGTCTGTCTCGTACGGTAGGTTCCAGCTTCAGGAGTTCAATTTCAACGGCGCCTTGCTATCGAAAATCTGTGACAAGCATTTCTTGTCGCTTGTCAACACGTTTGACCCGTGTGGACATTCGTTCTATCCTAACAATGGCGGCGCTCCAACCACAGTGGATTTCATTGCGCTTCCTCGGAGCGTCCAGTGCAACTCGGTTCGCATCTGGCACCGGGCAGGGGATGCTTTGCAGTGTGCTAACAGTCGGTCTCCCAGGGATCATCGACCATTGGTTGCTGATGTGGTGCTTGCTTCCGGGTATGCGGCGCAATCTGTGCCGCAGCGGTGGGACCACGACAAAATCAATTCATGTATTTTCACTGGGATCGGAAGGGGGGCTTTCATTTTCAAGGTCGAGTCGAAACTACGAGAAGTGGAGAGTAGCATTCAGGAGGCTGTCAGGTCACCCTATCCAGACAAATTGCAGCGGACGGTATTGGATGTGGTGTCGACGTGTGCACGGGAGGTATTTGGAGGAGGTGGACCACCACGGGACGGAAATCACGGAGTGGATACGGATGAGGAGGAACGAGACATACGGAATAAACAACAGGAGAGATGGGAGGCAAGGAGGGCGGGCGTTACGACAAGCTACGGAGGAGCAGGAGGAAGGAGCAATTGCACGGGTACGAACCGCTACGCGGGACCTCCGCCGATTCAAGCGATTGCGATATACACGACGGACTGGAACCCTGGTGGCCGAGCTGCAGGAGGCGTGGAGCCGCCGCAACTTGCCTCGTGCCTGGCAGGTGTCACGGCAACTCAGTGACAAAGGAGTGGGGCCCAAACGACGTATGTTTTGTGCATTGTCCTCACCAACGTTCTCTCCCGATGAGCTCCTGGCGCACTACGAACAATCCGGATCACAAGGGGGGTTCTGTGCTCACGTGGGTGAGTTCGATCGTTTGGTGCAGTCCAGGGGGGGGGGAAGCTGGCGCTACGCAGGCTTCTGGCGTGGCTTTGGCATCGGAAGAGGATCTTGTTCGAGCGAGCGAATCGTTCCGACATACGAAACGACACCTACAACGGGCTGCCTTACGGAAAACACCGCCCAAATGGGGATTTCCAGTGGGGATTTGGAGGTTGTTGTTGTGTCGTGAGCGTCTTCGGGATCGTTCGAGACCTCTTACTGGAACTGCGCACCGCTTACAACAGGTTATGCTACAGCTGCACGCGCACATGCAAACATCGTCTGAAACTCCTTTGTTTTGGCACAAAACGCATTGTTTTCATTTACCGAAGCCTAATCGCAAGAAGGGGTTGGGAGGACAACGGGCGGTTCATACAGCGGACTCCTACTCTAAAGTTGCTACCGGGCTTTATGGGACAGGGGGGAACATTCCTACCACCGAGACTATGCTTGTGGGTATGTGCGGCATCGTGGACGGGAGCAGGCTATCACCACGGTTGCGATTACCCGTGACAGGTTGGCGGCTAACCGACGGTCCCACGCCACTGATTTCCTGGATCTATCGAGTGCGTTTGCGTGCCCGCGGCACGCCGAGGATCTGGAGCCGTACGCAGCTCGTGCATGTAGCAATCCTGTTGATCGCAAGCATGCGTGTCAACGTCTGGAGCACGCGTGCACCGTCATCGACGACTCCACAGGGGGGGATCGCGTGTACAAGGTGGGCACCGGCACCCTCCCAGGAGATTCGATCGCTGGACCCTGGTTCCTGGCGCCTTACCACGCTTGTCTGGACGAAATCACTTCCGCCCACCCCGACATGCGCGTGTTGTTCGAGTGCCCGTGGGGCGGGAGTGTGTGGGAGGATGTGGGGGAGGACGGATGCACAGTGGACACGTTTTTATAATCATACGCAGACGACTCCAGCAAAACATACCAGGTTTCAGATGCTTTTGACCTCCGTAGGAAATCGCATGGGTATGCCAGGACGTGCACGCGTGTGTTCGCAACACGGAATATGCAACACAATCCCGGGAAGTCTGAATCGTTGGTCAAGTTCTGTGGTGCCAGGGCAGACGAGTACACGAGAGCGGTCTACCAGGAACCATCTATGTTGCCAGGGACTGTCTTGCATGTTGCGCGGTACTTGGGGCCACACTTGTCTGCTGGATCTTCCGTGGCTTTCGAACGAGGCAAACGACTCGAGGCGATCCGTCGGGGCTATGGGGCATTGGGTAAGTTTTGGGTACGATCGCCACGCCGACTCTGGAGCAAAACAGTGTTCCAATGCATGGTGTCTGGTGCTGGGCTTAGTGGCCTGGACGCGCTTGTTCTCTCCAGTGCAGACACACTGGCGCTGGACAGAGAACTCATCACTCTTGCCCGGCAGGTCATTCGAGGAGCCTGCGACAAAATCCAACAAGACGACGGGTCTACAAAATACAGGGCCTGGGCAAACGACAGGGCGTGTCGGGAATTGGGCCTCATACCGGTTGCAGTGTCTCTCCGGCAGAGGCGCCTCAAGATGTGGCAGCGCGTTGTCGGGCACCCCAGCGAATACAAATGCCTCATTGCTGCGTTCTTTGGAGATTTGCCCGGAGATGTCAAACCCACCCTCGATAGTGATGGCAAGATGCTCGCGACCGCGCACAGATGGGCCTTGCAGTGGGCTCGTGATATCCAGGCCCTTGCGTTCGCTTCAGGAAGCCATCGCCTTTCGGAGTGTGCCGACCGACCTTTGCAATTATTGAATCGCTTCGCTCATTCCGCCGGCCCATAGTGTAGCGTCGCTGGCACTTGCTTGCGTGCTCGGGGGGGCATTTGGGTGGCCTCCTGGGGCCGCTTGGGGGCCTCCTCCTGAGGGCCTGTTGGGGGCCTCTTGGGGCCTCTTAGGGGCCTCTTGGGGCCTCCTGGGGACTTCTGAGGGCCGAGGGCTCGAAATATTGTTTCGTGTTCCCCCCCTGGGGTCCCTCTTGGGGCCCTCTTGGGCCGTCTTGGAGGCCTCTTGGGCCGTCTTGGAGCCCTCTTGGGCCGTCTTGGGGCTTGGGCCTCTTGGGCCCTCTTGGGGCGGTCTTGGGGGCCTCTTGGGCCGTCTTGGGGTGTCATGAAGCCGAAAAGGTGGAAACGCCAAAATCTCTCCAAAACCGAAGGAAAAGCAGTGAATTTTGCCTCTTGGGGCCCTCTCGGGAGTGCTCTTGGAGGCCTCTTGGGGCGTCTGGGGGCCATCGTGGGCGTCTTGGAGCGATCTTGTGGCATCTCGGACCCCTCATGTAGCATCTTGGGGGCCTCTTGGAAGCCTCTTGGCCCTTCTTGGGGCTCTCGGGGACGTCTCGGAGCCGCGTTGGTGCGCTGCTGGAGCGCCCTGGTGACTCCTCCCGGGACTCTCTCGGGACCTTGCCGGGGTACTTTCCGCCCGGGGGCCCCCAGGGGCCGCCCCGCGCGCGCGAAGTAGAAAAATTGTAAAGCAGCCACCGGAGATCTTAGCACGCCTCTGGCCCGTTGGGCCGGCGAATTTCAGTCTCCCGTGTGCCGTGCAGAATTTCTACAACAGGACGTGGGAATATTGTCATCGGATGTGGTGTATTTTGCAGGTGCGCCTCGCTTCTCCTCCACCCCGGCTCCACCATTGCAGCAGCAGCAGCAGCATTCCCCTCAGGAGCAGGAGTACAAACCAGCGGAGCAGGGGGCCGATGGAGGACCAGTTTTGGGGGAGGACGGGGAGGAAGAATGGGGGTGCCGACTTACGTGTGGCGACGGTGCCGTGTGTCGCCGCCGCTTCTGGAGTAAACTGGCGATGCGGATGCATCAGATACACAGTCCACTTGGGGGAGAGCACGGCTACGGTACACTTGCTGCGTCGCTGGCCCGCGTCAATCAATGTTGTGCGTGCCGGGCCATCCATTCATCCGTCAACATTACGAGACATCATCTGCGAAGGAGCTTGCAACGAGGATTCTGCGACGTTCGATGGGAGAGAGGGAGTGCAGACTGTCATGAGATCATTGTTCCTCCTCCTTACTCTTGCCGTATCTGCGACGTTGAGTTCGAGTCTGCCACTCCGCTGCTGTGGCATCTGGCTTCTCACTTACCAGACACATTTCAGATCGAATTGGGCGCAGTCCCCGAAGAGTAGCATGGCTGACGCGGCATGGGCGTCCTTCTTGGGCGGAGGTGCCGCCGAACCCCCGCGGCAGAGGCGGGGCGGCGGCAGCGCCGAAAACGGGGACAAGATCAAGGAGCTCTTGTCCATCCTCGTGAAATTGTGCCTCCAGACGAAGCAAGAGGTACGCATGCTCATGGCAGTCGTGTTCATCTGCTTCCGGGTTGCAACGGACAGCACGGCGGCGCAGGGGGTCCGGAAGGCGT